ATAAATAAAAAAAAAAAAAAAAAAGGGTCAGAAATGGACATTTAATTTTGAATAATTTAATTCAATTCTTATTGGTGAGTTGGGAACGTAGCTTCAACAAAACAGAGTTTGGGGCAAAACAAACCCCACCAACCTCTCCGCTCTCCAAATCAAAATTTACAGGCCTTTCTCAACCCTTTGCCAAAACCCCATCAAAACCCTCAATACGCTTATGCTACCCATTTCTAAGATGAAATCCTTCGTATCATCATCATCTTTCTCAACCCTCTCGCCCTATTTCCCCATTACCGCTTCTCCAACCCTCTCTTTGGCTTCTAAATCGACGCAATGCAACCCTATATTCACCCACTTGTCCAATTTTTTCTCTCTGAAAACGCTCAGAGTCTCGTTGCCCAGAAACCAGGGGTTTTCAAACCAGAAACGAAGTGCCCAAATCGTAGCTTCTTTGTCACCGCCCTCCGGCGAGGTTCATGTGATAGTAGGGCCGATGTTTGCTGGGAAAACAACCTCTCTTCTTCGGCGGATTCAGTCCGAGAGCATCAATGGCAGGTATTTTATGCTCTGATTTTGTGCTTCTATTCATTAATCTAATCGGTTGCGAGTGTTTATTGTAATGTTTTCTCTAGTCTCCTTTGGACTTGTCTCCCTTGTATTTCTAAGTTTCTACGGTTAACGGAAATGGGGCTTATTGGTATGATAGTAGGTGGTAAGTTTGCTAATAGATTGGGAGATTTTGTATTGGCTTGAATAATAGCATGAGGGTATCTCCAATAAGAAATGAGAAGAAAGTGGCATTCTAAGGTTCTGTTAAGATGCTCTGATACCACAGAATGAGAAACAAGAATGGGATTGAAAGTCCTTTGTTCCATTCTCTGTCACTTTCTTCCGTTCTTCCGTTCTTCCTCTTCTCCCGCTTTGATACCATGTTAAGAATGAACCTATGTTTCTCATTCTTAACAGTTTTGAACGGTTCTAATATGGTTATTCTTGTCAGTTTTAAATGGTTCTAATATGGTTATTCTTGTCTATGTGTACAAATTCTCAATATTAGAGTTATGCATATTGGTGATAAACGAGGGGTTAGGCTGAAATATGATGTGGGTTTTGGCCTCTTGATAAAGAATTTCCCCTTTAATGTAGCTCTCAACACTCTAGAAGGCAGCCCTCTTAACATTAGACCATATGACCTTGCCTCTTTCTTTGAAACAAGGCTATTGATACATAGACATTGTTGCACCAATTTCTAAGGTCTAACAGTTTCCATTTGAACTGTAAAATAAAGAAACATTCAAGAAGTAGGCGACTTGCATTTTCACCATGCCTTTTGGCTTTTGCAAATGTATGCACCAGTTCAGTTGGATTGTACAATTTGGCGTTAGATCTTATAATTTGGAGATGATACAAGAGTTCACTGGTGATCACCTACTTGGGATTTGATAACTTGGATTGAATTTGTGCTATGATATAATCTTGATTGGTGTAGAAGCTTCTTTTTGGGGTAAAATTCATAAAAATTATTATTTTTTACAGAAGTGTAGCCGTTATTAAGTCGAATAAAGACACGAGATATGGACTGGATTCGATTGTGACGCACGATGGCATGAAACTGCCTTGCTGGGCATTACCAAACTTATCGTCTTTCAAACAAAAGTTTGGTGAAGGTGCTTATGACAAGGTATGATAATCCTACCTTCTTAAGGAAAGCTTGATATCTCTCTATGAGGCTAAAGATTTGGTTTGCAGTTAGAATGAGCAGATAGCTGACTAATTGGGCATACTGATTTTCCTGTAAACTAAATTTTTAGTTCGGTTTTGATAATGATATGATAGCTAGATGTGATTGGAATTGATGAAGCTCAATTCTTCGATGATCTTTACGATTTCTGTCGTGAAGCTGCTGATATGGATGGCAAAACAGTAATAGTTGCTGGGTTGGATGGGGATTACTTGAGGTATCATCAAAGTTTTTGGCGTAGTTTTGGTTCATTCATTCGAAATATTTGAATTATTTTCTTCGAAACTGATGGCCTTTCATTTGGCACACATTCAACGAAAGCTTTCATATTGATCTAAACTGAATACGCATTAGTAACTGAGCTAAAGCTTTTTTGTGTTGGGGTTTTATCTGAAAAAACATGAACAGGAGGAGCTTTGGTTCAGTTCTTGATATAATTCCGCTTGCCGATTCTGTAACAAAGTTAACTGCTCGATGCGAGATCTGCGGGAATCGAGCTTTCTTTACTTTAAGGAAGACAGAAGAAAAAGAGACTGAGCTGATTGGTGGTGCTGACATGTATATGCCCGTATGTCGACAACATTATGTTAGCGGGCAAGTAGTGATAGAGACAGCAAGAACTGTAGTAGAAGAAGCACACAAGGTTGAGTTTACGACCACAGCATAGTTGTTCCTAGTAGTAGGACTGCAGAATCACATACAGCCCAGCAGCCTATGCCGAAACATAGCAGTTGTTCGGTTGTCCCGACGATTATGGTAAACAAGGAACGGGCGATTTTGGGAACGGATGGAATTACGGTAAGCATTTAGTCAGAATTGAAGAGAAGAGTGTAGCAGCAGGGGGAGGGAGGGCGTTGTGCTGTAGGTTTAGAAAATGGGATTATTTTCATGGATGATAGGGAAAAAGGAGTGAATGGTATGTCATATGTATTTGTGTTAGTTGAAAACTCAATTCATTATTGAGGGAGGAGGAGACATTCATGTGTGTATTATTGGGTAAGTTGTTGATCACCCACCTGTTTCTTGTATTCTGCCAGTTTCCATTCCGATATATCAACTACTTTTCATAATTAAATAATGAAAAAGTTGTTCCGGTGTCACCTATATACGTTTGAAAAGTTAAAACAAAAGTTGTATTTTCTTCACAGTTTCACGCTGGTTGGAGAGAGAAACATGCATTTTAAAATTGTGAGACTGACGATAATATGTATTAAGTAAAAGTGCACAATATCTGCTACCGAGTAAAAGTGCACAATATCTGCTACCGGTAGGCTTTGTCGATATAGAAAGATCTCCTTATTTCTTCATTGCGGATTCTTGCGTCATTTTCTTGAAAAGATATTAGATCACTGTAAGACACTTTAAAATGAGTAATAGAGACCATCCATTCCTTTATTCACACAAACCCTTCAATGACTTATCGGCTGCCTTGCTTGAGGAAGAGTTTCACTAAAATTGAAACAAACCGGAATAACGTCTAATCTTGTTTATGGATTGAGTGGAAAAGGGATATAAGAACTTCATCTATGTGTCTATTACAAGTAAGGTGAGAAGTAGGTGTCACTCGTTGGATCTTGGGGTGCAAAATGCACAGAATATCCCACCACCGGATGATCCAAACCATTCTAGGTGTTCAATTATTTGTTGAGTTTATAAAGTATCCACAAACACCAAGGTAAACACATCATATACATTCGAAGTTTATAACGATATCTATTTCTTTCTTTAAAATCGAAGGTTTAACCCTCCACCGCACCGAAGTTTATGCAGTCACCTATAGAGCCTACATTAATCTAGTCTGATCAAATATCTGTAAGAAACAAAAGGGCATCCCACAAACAACCATACAAAAATTAAAATAGTAGCGGAACTTACAATGAAGGCTATCCTTTTATGAGACTAAAGAAAGCATTCAAAACATCAAGAATCATTTCCAATTTACATCATTTGAAAAGAAAAATCATTGAACATTTTATCTCCTTAAACAAAAGGCCATACAACCAAAACAGTGAGAAAGTAACAATCAAAGCAAGAAAAAAGAAATTGAGCAAAAAATTTGCTTGAACTTTCTCAGGAGCTAAATCTAAGGTTCAAACAAACAAATTTCATAGTCCACCAGATTGTCAGCCAACTGCAAATATTCTACCTTCTGAAATGCTGTGACAGTCATCAATGGAAAAGTAACAAAGAATCTGATATCTAAGATCCATCGCAGCCACATCAGAAAGAGCTAAATTTGCCTATTACTAAGAAAAACATAACCATTTGTGGATGACAATCACTTAATCAGAACAAGACTGCTTGAAAGATGAAATGCTAGCACAAAAGATCACATAAAAGAGCATCATAGCAAAGTGTGTGAGAACTTTTTCTTTGAAGTTCATTGGTGTAATACTGTTTGGATAATAAAGAACATTTTTCTCCCTCTTAAAGCTACTCTTGTACTACTTTCAATTTCCTGGTTACACGCTGAAACTCTGGAAATCAACTCGAGTTTATGACAATGCGGCAAGAGATGTTATAATCTAACGATACCCCGTTGAACAAGGTTTACCAACAAACATAGGAAATAAAAAAATGGATACACAAATGGAACAAAAGACAAGTATATGATCTATACCTCCAAACCCCTTAACGAGCATCCTTGTTTATCGATCAAAAACAAAGGAATCATGTAAAGTCTTCAACAGATTCATTTAGAGCGAAGTTTCATTTAACTTATTGACACAACCCGGTCGCATGGTTAATAAGTAGAACATCGTAAAAAATGTCCACAAATGGAACTCGAAATTCAGAAGAAAAAAAAAACCCTAAAACGCACAATCTTATTTCTTGTAACGAGCTACCTCGCCTTCATTGGGGAAAAACCCCATAAGCCGACCAGCCGAGTTCTGATAAGCATACATGAAGCCTCCCATCAGTCCAATTAAACCGCCGGTCACCATTGACGGTCCTCTAATCCCGGGCTTAATCCCTAAAACGCAAATAACACAACACATTTCCAGATTAGTAAAGAAAAAGGAAGAGAAACAAAGAAGAAGAGAAGAAAGAAGAAATTGGCACCGGAAAGATAGCCAACGGTAACGGAAACGCCGGTGATGGTAACGAAACGGAGGTAATCGAGAGTGTCAAAATTGCCGACGACTTTGGTGAATGGAGGATTCCGATCTATTACCGGGTACTCCGGCTTGGTCGATGCTGTAATGTCAGTGTTCATCTTGTCTTCTCCGGAGCTGAAACTGAAACCGAATCTGATCTCCGCCGGCTCTCTTTCTCCCTAAATTGCTGTGGGACTCTGCACAAACTCGGTTGCCGAATCGCTGCAGTTGAAGACGATGCACGTGTGAGTGATTGAATGGGTTTTTCATGGGCCTGGCCCAAAATAGTTACATCAGCCACGGCCCATTATAAAAAATGAGACACCTAGATAAAGGGCCATATTATATATATACATACATACATATATATGTATGTATGTATATATATATATGTTTAAGTCTAAACTAACTTAATTTAGAAAAATTGTGAAAATAAAAAATTTAGGTTTGATCGAGAGTTCGGGGGGGTTTAGGTTTGGAAAGCCGGATGAAAACTCTTGAACTTTGGTGAAAGAGCCAAATTGGATCGAGTTACATACAAAAAGATGTAATAGTTTAACTTTTCTCCACTAACCTCTCAGAAGTCGTTACCCCAAGTCTCTCTCCTAACGAACCCATATCACACAAAACTTAGAGGCAAAACTTTTAACGCAAAACAATCTCTCCCTAACCAACCCTAATCACGCAAAACTTGCAAAACTTCTCATGCAAAACTCATTCTATTTTAGAGGCCGTAATAGTGAGTCATATTTTACATTTTTCTTTTTTGTTTATCGAATGATATTAATTTTGTTATAATTATTTAAGTTTGACTTAGAAATTAAACTGAATTAAAAAAAACCCTGAACAAAATAAGTAAAATAGAAGATCTGGAAAAAGTATTAAATTGTTATTAACCATAAATATCTAAAATTTAGATGGTATGATCCATTTAAATAATATTCACACAATTGAGAAGGAATTCGATTTTGATTGTAATAAGTGAGAACGAATTCGAAGGACGAAAGAAGCAAATTTGGAGCTATATAGAATTTTGGCTAAGGCCAACCAAGTAAGTGGTTTTACTATCACTTCGGTTGGAAGACTTATCTTATGTAACACATGCTCAATGGCTCTTGCACATGTCATGTATGCTTATATATTATGATGATGTGAATTGATATGATATGATGATATATTATGATGATACGATTACGTGAATTGATACAATATGATTATGCATTATGATGCTGTTATGTTGATATGATGTTACGTTGGAGTGATGATTTATTATGACATGATGACATAAGATGTATAATGCTGATGCGACATAATATGATAATACTTCATATTATGATGATGTGCATGTATGAGATGTCATGTTGCATTATAATGAAGAGTTTTTTTGGTAAACAACCTTTACAAGGTTATAAATGATGAATGTATGGAAACTTATGCATGCATGTTTCCCAAGTAACCATTTAAATTTTTTTTTCAAGTATTACTGGTAGAGATTGTTAGAACGTGCTAATATGCGAGCATATCCTACCTTAAATTGTTAGAATATGCATGAGAAGGTCATGTATGATGTGAAAAATTACCAAAGTACTCCTTAGATAAGAACTAGAGGGTTTAACGTTGACCTAGGTTAATATGTTTCTAGTAGACCGAACAACCAAGGATCATAAGTAGTGATCAGAGGTCTAGACCTTAGCCCCAAGGGGTTAGTCTCGAGTGTTTTAGCAATGTGAGATGAGATTTAAACCTCATATACACCCTAAAAACTTAGTAAACCTTCATGACAAGGATGACTAAGAAATCTCAACCGGCCTAGTTGCAGTGTGAATGGTATCACCAGAGTTTCTTCCTCATATCTCCTCAGGTATGCTATTAGGGCTAGCAACAACCCAGATCGAACCCTCAGCACCCTTCCAAGCAGTAGGAGCTCATGTGCATTACTGTTGAGCCAAACCTAATAAGCTCGATAGTGTAACACACTGAGACAATCATGTGACTTTATCTTGTGGAAATGGGCAGGGTTCTCTTAAGGGCTCCTACATTATAAACACATCTTAGTGCGTGGAACCACACAGGTAACCTAATAGCTAATAAGCACCATGGTCACTCCTCCAAACTCATCCAAACTCATAGTGACTCTATAGCCCTATGGAAGTGGCTTTATACATGGCTCAAATTTTTCAGCAGAGTCATGATTGATTTTTAAACTCGGGATGGATTATAAGCCAAGACAAATAAAAATTAAATTGAAAAGAAACACAAAAGAAACATATATTCAATCTTGAAAATAAAGCTCTGATACCAAATGATAAGGAATATGTTGAAACTGTATTTATAATAAGTAGAGCGGGACAAGGAATTGAGCGGGGACGAAAAATATAATCTCGTCTCCGCCCTATTTATCTAACAGAGAAACAATGTTCTCGACCCCTCTCTTATTCCTCGTCTAAACGTGGAATCTCTTTCCCACAATCACGAAATCGAGTAAAATGGATATCTCTCTTAAAAAAGGAGCTCAAGTGCATCAACACATGCACACATATATATATATACATTTGATTCCAAAAACACATATCCAAATAAAGTAATGTTAATGAGACATGTTAGCCTTTGTCATCTACACACCTTCCACTATGTTACATCCACTCACTTGATTCCCCTCTTCCCATAACTAAAGTGTTAAGCATGTGATTTCAAAAAATTATTAAACTCCAAATCTATGTTTAAACCTAAATGATTCCCAAAAAAGAAAGCTTCAAGTGTTTCTTTGACGTAAGCTTGAAGAAATGAATCTTAACTTTCTCGAAGGCTGTGAACTCCTCCTATCATTTCTTAAAGACCAAACCTTTGTTGAAACATGGCCACACAGATCATTTAGAACAAAAACAACACTACAATGTCTTCTCGTTCTACTCGGCTCACCATTCTCCACCTGTCTGTGCTGCTCGCTTTCATCGTAGCTCCACGAAGATCAGGTACTTAGCTTCTTGTTTGTCTTGTCTTTGTTAGGAATCACGACTCTCCACAATGGTATGATATTGTTTACTTTGAGTACAAGCTCTCGTGGCTTTGTTTTGGGTTGGACTTTCCTAAAAGGCCTCGTACCAGTGCAGATAGTATTCCATGACCGTCTTATGTTACGAAAGGAAAATGGATTTGATTTTTTTTTTGTGTTGGGTTATGAAAGAGGGGCAACTTGAGGAGTGGTGCATAGCTGATGAGCAAGTGCCGGATGATGAGCTGCAAAGAGCTCTTGATTGGGCTTGTGGGAAAGGAGGAGCGGATTGTGGTGATATTCAAGTGAAGCGTCCTTGTTTTTACCCAAACACTGTTAGGGATCATGCTTCTTATGCTTTTAATAGTTACTATCAAAAGTTTAAGCATAAGGGTGCCTCTTGCTTCTTCAATTCCGCTGCCATGGTCACCGCTCTCGATCCTAGTAAGTGTTCTTAATCTAACTCCATTTTCTCGATCTTCTTGTCTTGTACTTCATGGTTACTGTCTAAGCTCATAGCTAGTAAATATTGTCATCTATGGGTTTTCCCTTCTGGGCTTTCCCTCATAGATTTTAAAACACGTATGTTAGGGAAAGATTTCCACGCCCTTATAAAGAATGTTTTGTTCTCCTCTCCAACTAATGTGGGGTCTCACAATCTACTCCCCTACGGGACCCAGTGTCCTCGCTGACACTCGTTCCTCTCTCAAATCGATATGGTATCTCACAATCCACCCCCATTTGAGACTCGACGTCTTTGCTGGGACTTGTTTCTCTCAGTAATCAATGTGGGATCTCACAATCCACACTCGAGAGGTTTTCACACCCTTAGAAAGAATGTTCTGTTCCCCTTTCCAACTGATGTGGGATCTGACAATCCACCCTCCTTTACGGCCTAGTGTCCTAGCATCCTCACTGACATTCATTCCCTTCTCCAATCAAATATCATTCTACTCTTCCATCAGGGGGATCTCAAAGTTTTATTAGTCAAGTAAACTTATACATTTTCCTTAAAACTAATCTTCCTTTCCTTGGCAGGTCATGGTTCGTGCAAGTTTGAGTATGTACCTTGAAGAAGGGCATGACTTAATCATCGAAGAGGCTTCCAATTATAACTTGAGTATTCAACGCTTTTGATATGGATGAAGATATTTCAATCATATAATATGAACTATAGATGGTTACAAATTTTGAATGAATGATAGTTTAGAGTTATGATGTTTCGTTAATGTGTTTTAAAATCTTTATGTTACTTGATTTGCAAAATTTGAAGTGTACTGATCAAATTTTAATATAATGATTTTGAGTGTTTTTGTTTTATCTTACTATTATGAATATTAACGCCCAATTTTATTTAGAGAATAATAAATAATTATTAAAATAAATGTAACATCTAAGATTTTTCGAGCATATTCGTGTAATATCACGAACGATTGTATTGGATTCACTTAATAAAAAATTATTAAACTTTTTACTACAATTAAAATTGATATTTGACTCGATATAAAATATGAAAATTAATTTTATCAAAACATTAAACAATTTGGAAGAATTTAGAATATGCCATTTAAAATTAAATGAGATAGTGTTAGAGAAAATAACAATGCAACTTTACATTTGTACGGTCAATCTCAATCTACTCCACCCTCCCAAACACCTCTCGAGAATTTGAATAATCTCAATCTATTAACTTTACGAGCCTCTTGATAATTTGAATAAAACTTTCTTGACTCTTTTACCTACCAAACCCCAACGGTTACACCATTTTAGTTACGAGTTCAAAAGCAACCGAAGTAAAAAGTAAATAAAAATATTATAATAATAATAAAAAGTCTTTAACAATAATAATAATAAAAATATTTCAATCTTTTTTTAATTAAATGTTGTCGGAAGGGTACTCTAAACATCAGATTTTTTTTTTTAAATTTTATTATTTCATATATTATATATAATTAATTTTTTTTCTTTTTTAAAAGACAATCAAAATTTACCCAATCAAATGATTTTAACTAAAAAAAAATTGTTATCATCAAAAACATTAATTAATTTAAAATAATGGTAAAAAAGTCAACAATTTTATTTTTTCACGGACAAATTAAGTTAAAAAAATAATTATAAACAAGTAATACATGTGTTCAAGTAACAAGAACAATATACTCTAATATATCACCCTAAACCTACATTAAATTCACATCATAAAAGTCCATACTTAAAATTCACTCAAAAATTAATTTTAATGCATCGGTATATTTTTTTTAATTTTTTCCTCTTTTTAAATCATAAGAAAGAATAATCGAAAAAATAATATTTTCACTACGAACATGTCTTTAAAAAAGTTATAATAAAGATTATTGTAAAATATTTCTTCGTTTAACGACTTGGTAAAAACATAAGCTAATTGATTACTAAATGATAAGGATTAAGGTATTCCAAATATTCCAACTAGACTTATTACACAATCCAAAACCAAAAAGATTCAACAAGCATTTATTCTTCATCTACAAAATTGGATAGGCTCAGTCCAACCATTATTTCATGTGTTACAAGCTGATTCAGTTAAAGAATGATCATCTGGAGCTTTGAAAGTGAATATTTGCACGGTTAAAGTAGTCAATGAAGTTGCTATAAATTGATAATTTGTTAAAAAAAAAAAATTTATTATTTTAATTTCATAATTTCTTGTAGCAGGCGAAAATGGAGGAAATTACTTGTCAAAGTGACCCTAACTTTTTTTTTTAGATTTAAGGGTAGTGGGAGTAAATCATATCCACTCACTTCTTTACTCAACATTTGAAAAGTTGGAAGTTTGTTTCGTGGAAAACTATAAATATTCACAAATAACTATCTAAAAAAACTAAGTTTTTGGAAGAATGAAATTGAGTTCTCATGATATGAGCCAAGAGATATCAATCATAAAATATGCTTCAATGAAGATGTGAAAAAAAATATTGTATACTGAATGATATGTGGAAATCACTACAAGGAGAGTAAGATTCAGATTACCTTGTTGATCGAATATCTAAAGGCAAAAACATTGTTTGAGATTCGAATCATTCCACAAGCAAGATTGATCATGTCGAGTTTGAATGATTTTACATGCAACCTAAACTAACTAGAATTGCAAAGAAACATAGTCATTCCCTAAAGAAAGCACAAATGCTTTTTTTTACTACATTTTCCAAGTCTACTTACCAATACAACATACATGCTTTATATAACCTCAAAATGAAACTATTAAAGACATTCCAAGAGTTGTAACATTCATACTTGATGGCTATAATGAACCATTATGTAATTGTAACCTAGAGTAAATAAAAAGTCTTAAAATACATTAATGAAATACAATAGCTCCAAATTACTCTAAATTATAATCCACCTAAAATTTATAACATAAACTTTATTTTTCTTCCATGTAAGAGCCGTATAGGTGGCAATAAGTGAGGAGAGAGAAAGACCAGCTGTACTATTCTTCTAGGGTTAAAAAAAAAAAAAAGGACCGCGTAGAGGAAAAGAGAAAAGAAGAAAGAAAAAAAGAAGAAGAAGAAGAAGAAGACAGAGGAGAGGGTAGAGCGGAGGAGATGAACAACGGAGCTTGAAGCGCTCGTCAGCAACAGTGGGCCAAACAATTGAAGAAGGGAGAATGCCGACGGTAAGCCCTAGTGGTGTGATTTTCGTTGTTCCTTTCCAAAACCCTAATACATTTCACTGAATCGGTGTACCTACGTTATTGTCGAGGGAAGTTGGTGAGTCCTTGTGAAGAAGAAGACATGTGGTGCTGAGAGGAAAGAAAGATCAAGAAGAAGGTGGGAAGAAGAGGCCGAAAACTGAGGGGACCCGACCCACCTGTACAGAACCGAAACCCGATTTTTTTTCCCATTTCACACCATTTGATTTGTCTTTATTCAAATTTAGGTACTTGACTCACACATTCCATAATCCCTTATTTAGGAAATTTTCAATTAGCTTAGTCAAGGGGACACTTGAAGACTTGATAAAGTTTTGGGAAGTCTACAATCAGGTAAGTAACCATCTAGAGCAAATTTTTAAGTAATTGCTTGTAGGAGTCGGTTTGGATTTGTGGCCAAATAATTTAGTACCGTATTTAGGAATGGATAAAGTTAGTTCATGGAGGTGGTACTTCGATAATGTGTGTGGTTGTACTTTGATTGTCGTTATGGTTATATAGTTTCGTTGACATGAATGTGAAATTTCTTTTAGGAGTTTGGGATGATATATTTTTATGTTCAGCTAGATGGTTATTACGTGACTTAGCATGGTGACGTGTTGTTGCCATGGTTCTTTGTTAGGCATTGGGTGTGGGGCTTGGGTAGCCCATTGTTACCCTTTGTGAGTTGGATCATTTATTAGGTGCTAGTTATCATAAGTTATGAAGCACATAGATGATAGTGTACCGTTTTCGTAGTCACCGACAGGGGGTTGAGGGTAATCATAGTATATTATTGTGGTAACATGTCAGAGGTGCTTAGTGGGACGAGTCATGGCCTTTTTACTGATCCAGCTGAGTGGCATAGTGGCAGGTAGTTACTGTTCCTAAGATAGGTAGTTTTACTAATTTGAGCCGACAAGGGCATAAGATAGGTAGTGACTGACCCGGCCTAGCGAGGCACAGTAGCAGGTAGTTACTGATCTTAGGAACAGTTAAATATTGCTAGGCACCACTAGGTCTCTGACTAGCGACTATTCGAGCACAAAACTTAGGATCCTGTGAATAGGGCTAAATTCGACAAGAGCTTACGAGCAGGTTGCTTACTGAGTATTGTTTATATACTCATTCTGTGTTGTTTTTATTTTTCAGGAGAAAAGTAGATCTGGGTCGGTGGCGGGGACGTGTGGAGTCGTGTAGTTGTAGAAGGGGCCCCTTAGATTGAGCCTCTTCTTCCATGTTGTTTTGGTTATGATTTTGACGTTTTTGGAAAACCTGCAATATTTTGTAACTGTTTCTATCTATGTGACTCCACGGTTCTCGTTATGTGTTTTGTATTTTTTTTTTTGAGATGTATATCAGGCAACTTTTAATTTCTAGTCCCTGTTCAAACAATAAGAAGTATTGAAAGGTTATTTTTACTCTTGAGTCCACGTGGCAACCCGTGATTCGGTATTTTCGAAGATCGGTCGTTACATTCAATGTGACATGAATTGAAATATCTTTTGATAGTTTTAACAATATTTTCTTCACATATTCATTGAAGCATATTGTATGATTGATGTCTCTTGGTTCATATCATCTCAAGTTGAGACTTTCACCCTTGGAATTTGAGTATCTTCCTTGTCATTTCTAAGTTGTAAGCATGATTCTATTTAGAACAAGGTTCTAAATCTTGTTTCTAGATCTTAAGAGGTAATGATTCTATTTAGGACAAGGTTCCAAATCTTGTTTCTAAATCTTAAAAGATAATCTAATTCTACCCTTATCTTTGGTTGATCTGAATTTTGTCTAATAAGGTGTTATTTTCATTAATTTAAGGATTTTTGCCTCAACAAAAGCTTGGATCATTAGGCTGAACACTAGTTGTCTTGTCACTAAAGCTCACAAAATGAAAAATAATACATGCTTTGTAATAAAGTGATGCTTAATATCAATATGCTTAATAAGAGTTTTGGTCAAAGTAATAGTACTCGTGTTATCATAAAATATAGGCACGCTATCAACTTTAATTTAAAATCTCTAGACTGTGTCATCCATAGAACAACTTTGATGGAAGATAAGACAACAAAATTTTGCTTTTACTAAACTAAGAAGCTAATGAACTACAAATAAATTTACAATTTGCATGGGTACTTTTAGGGTCAAGTAAGCTACGAACAAAATCCTCATTCAAATATCCTACTAACTTCAACTCAACATTTCTAGGATACCACAAGCTTAAATAAATAGTCTCAAGTGAGATTCCTTAAGACAATATTAAAATCTATCACAAAAACAAACACTAAATATGATATCGGGACTACTAGCAGTTAAATAAAATAGAGATTGAATCATACTTCGATAAGATTTAGTTTTCACAAATTTATCTTTTTCCTCTTTGTCAAGCTTAGTGGATGTGTGTTAGGATCGCACAACAACGCACACTCGATCTAGATGAACACAAAGAATATGAGAGAAAAAATTCATGTATAACCATTAAGTAAGCTATAAATAACCAACAAACTCCATAACCCAATAATTCTCGTATTTCATTCTCCAATCAACATCTTCACTGCACCATACCAATTAAGCCTTTGCACAACCTTAATTTTCCAACCTCAACACATTTTGTCAACATGTCTGTTGGATTCTTTGCACCATTTATCTTCTCCAAATACATATCATCTTCTTCCACTAATCTGCGAGTGAAATAACGTTACTTTCTAATGTGTTTTATCTTTGAATGATAGGTTAGGTTCTTCACCAACTGTATGACATTCTGACTATCTGTATAAAGAATCTTCTCGTACTACTTCTTACCTAATTTTTCTAGATAGTACGTCATCCATATCATCTCATTCCCAGCTTCAGCTATTGCCACATACTCAGCCTTAGTAGATGAAGAAGTAACACAATTCTGAAGCCTAGACATTCAACTCATCCCATCATCCATGGTTTGCTCCCACTTGGTTGTATCCTCTGTAACGACCCGAAATTTTTCACTTAATTTAAGGTCGCTACTGTATCCATACCATAAACATTGAATGCGGAAGACTTCATTTAAATTCCATAAAACATAACCTTTAACTTAAAAACACAGCCATGGACTTACGTGTTTCGAAAACATCTTTAAAACGACACAACAAAAGACCCGAAATAAAATAAATAAGCGTTTAAGTTTAAAACATCCTATTCTATCCTAAGTCTAGGAAAATAAATACCACTAGCCTATGCATGTGCCATGATCTCGAGTTGCGATGCCGTCGTCAGCCGTACAGGAATGCCTTGCCTTAACCTGAAAAATGTAGTAGCACATGGCCTGAGTATTTAAAGAAATACTCAGTAAGTGACCCCACTATTGGGGTTAAATGCAACAATCACATGCAATGAAATGATGGGACCTATCTTTCGTTTCGTTTCGTTCCGTTTCTTTTTCGTTTCGTTTCGTTTCATTTCGTTTTCCCAACGGTGTAATCCTAACAGGTAATCGTGGACATGTACCATATACTCTACACGCAGCCCATACGTGCGAGTATGGGCTCACCAGCTAGTTCGCACACCGCTGGGCCACTGTCCCTAGCCGGTGGGCATGCTCTGGGGGCCCACCGGGACTCGTTAAAACTAAAACCGTCACGGCAGCGCTATGCGGAGCATAACGATCGTTGTCCTGCCATTTGGATGTACGCGTCCGTACCCTCGTGATGGGATAGGGGTATCCCCCCAAATGCATGAACACACAATATGCATGAGGTCCCACTAGTCCTACAGTCATCATTTAATGAGCATAACCCCGCGCCACGTTTTCATGCTTACATGTCATTCTCATTCTCATTTCGTTACGTATCATACATATTCCTAGCGGGGTTATGTATCGTGCAATTTACCGTATTTCATGTCATACAATTCATTCAGTTACATTCCAATACCCATACAACAAGCCATAATCGTACAAGGGCCACACATCGTCACATGCATTCATATCACATCAACTAAGCAGCATAAATAACATACATTCACGTTCACATGATTTCGTACTTAAGCACAATAATCTAGCATACAATGGATCATATCATAACCAAGTCATAACGTAAACACTTCATAGTCATATCGTTCTCTAACTTACCATAGCCTTAACGTTCTTATACCTATCACAGACATATCATTACGTGACATACCTTAGTCATATCATCACCAGAACGTATCCTAACGCCATCGTTCTATCAATCTATCACAAACCTATCCCTTTCTACCCATAACCTAACCGTATTCTTTCATCAATCTCTCCTATCCATAGCACTCCGGTATGTAACCTAACCTAACGTTTCGTGAACGTATCTTACTCCTATCGTTACATTTTGTTTTGTGCATCCTTCTCGTATCCTATCTCAAACATCTCCTAGAGCACATCGTACCATAATTATTATCATATAATCCACATATTATATAGCATAACATAACATATAGGAAGCATATCGATCCACAGACAATTCACACATATCAATATATATGACGCGTGCCGAACCACAGAGCACGTGTCAACATCAAATATAACCATGCCGATAGTAAGGTCACTTACCTGGCCAGCTTAAGTCGTTGTCACGAATATATCTTTAATTCAAGTTCGATTCCGTCCTTCGAAATCCGAGTCAACCTATATGAGCCCATGACATTAGTTTCAGGTTTGAACTCTATAAAATTATTTCTCTAATTTATGTTGACCCATGTGTTATACTTCATGTGAACGTTAGAGTCTTTGCTTGAATTAGGTGTTGAAATATTTATATATGTTTGTTATAGTATTATTTTCATACAACCCATTTAATACTCATTAAAATTTCCCAGATATTCTATTTTCTCATGGTGTTTAATACCCTTTTAACATTTTCCACATAATTTTCAATTATATTCACAGTCTTCCCTCTCTGTCTCTTACTGTGTTTTCTTTCTTTTAATTATCTCTCACTGTATTTACACTCTGTATTTACCTTTTTCCCCCTATATTTAGTTTGTGATTTTTAATTCTTATCTGTTTCCTTTTAATTCTGTTGTCATGCTTTCCAAATTTCCAGTGAACCCTGTTTCCAAATCCTTGAATCCTTCCTTATCTCAGTGTTTCCTATAAGTTTTTTTTGGCCATTCTATCTTTAATCTATTCATTCGCTACCGATAAAAATTTAATCTAACATTACTAATCTGACGTGATTGACTAGAATCATTGACATTTAGTTTCTAACTCAGATCATTCTAATAATTCAATGAAGATCTGGTGTGATTTCAAAAAAAATAGGATAAAAACAAATAAAGATTTAATATATACCTTGTTGATCAGATCTATCTTCACGTAAATCTCCGGTGAATCTCGATTGGGTAAAGGTCATTCTCATTTTTTTTTCTCAAGTAAATCTTACGATTATTGATCTTCTGTTTTTTTTTTTTTTTTGCAAGTCT